TTGGACCAGGTCTGCTCCTTTGTCATACCGCTAAGTTTACTGGTGTTTCTCAACTGCGGACTAATCACCCGCATCCGACGTTTTGAGAAGCAACACAAATCAGGCCAATGGTCCCTCAAGCGATTTAATGTACCAGCTGCAATTGCCACCCGAAAAACCCCGTACGAACCGCGAAAGCCAACCAGCTTTGTTTTGGCCGAGAAAGAAGGCGATTGTTCTGATCTTCCTTCGCCCCCACATGGAACATCTAACTCACACTACTCTCCTCTGAGCCTGCTGAAAAAGCCAAACCCGATACAGGGGAACTCGAGGGAGCAGAGTGCCACACTGTCCATTGCATCTCCTGAACAAACTCACGACGGAAGTCAACAGGAAGTTTCACGAAGTATCGTGAGTTCAAAAAGCGGTCGTACTTCCACCGCTAGCACGAAAAGTAGAAGCATATTGGTGACACTAGTTTGCGTGGTGACCACCTTTATAATCTGTGAAACACCAACCACACTCTGCTTCCTCTTTGAAATTTGGCACCTCTTAACTGGAATTGCAAATAAAAGTAGAGTAGCACCCTCAAACTCCACAGTGACCGCCATATCGGCTGCAAACAGCACAGACACTCAATCAGCTAATCCTTACGACCTATATTATTATGCTTACCCCGCTGCTCTTGTACTAGTCCTAGTAGGCTGTGCTAGTAACTTCTTCATTTACATTCTCATGGGCAGGCGATTTCGTCAGACATGCATTCGACTACTCGTCAGGTTTTGCTGTCTTAAATGCGCTCAGCAACAACGCTGTCGATCTCAACGCAATGAGGAAGATTCTGGTTTTATTCGCCCTCTGAAACATAGGCGCAAGGTAAAAACTAAATGCGGTATGATAAAAGTGGATGCCAAACATAGAGGAACGACCTAATTTCCGTAGAGGTCCAAAGCCATGCGTCCTCCAACTGGGCCAGGAATTCCCGCGGAAGTGATTTCACCGGATTATGTGAATCTAAATTGTGCTTTGTGGACCCACAAACATTCCAGGTTAAAAAGGTGCAAAAATGGCTTTCAACGTGAATTTTGTTTGATCTTCATTTATAAAGTATTTTCCATTAAACTATATGCAATATAAAGTTGCCTGTATATTCCTTTATGTTTTTTGACATCTGGGAGGTAAATAATAAGATGGGATATTCCAAGAGTGTACTTATAACCATATCGGAATCCGTACGAGACAAAATATAGAAAAAATAGTTTATATTAATCTGATAAAATGCACTTGAACTGTGTTCTTTAGTGGACGCACTAAATGCGGACTCATTTTGCTGATGCAGGATAGCCCAATTGCAGTAGTAACTATGTAAATTACTTTCACCTAAACACTGATCTTTTCAAAGATTCGTATAAAAATCGTTCTTCAGCCTCTTGGGAAATAAATCGCATAAATGAGGTTTTCTTCTGTTTCAATTAAAACAGTGTTTTATTATCCGCTCATCGACACCTACGTGCAGGCGAACAAGCCAGAGTGATAAGTTAAGCGTAGGTAAAAAGTGTTTTAGATCGTTAGTGATACGGTTTGCAAGAAAAGTGAAAAAAACTAAAGGGATTGGCTGATTACTGGGTGTTTTTCGTAGCGTTATCTCTCACCATACTGGGCTGAGGGCATACCTGAAGGCTATTTTTCTATGTTTGTAGTAGTCCTTATCAGGTCAGGTTAGCACAACGAAGGTCAAAAAAGTAATGCTGGACTAATTGGTAAAACTTAAAATATTAAGGGATGAAACACTCAGCGCAAAATAGCATACAGGTATTATTGAAGGCATCGGGAACTAGCGCACCAAACTGCATAAAAACGACTACGCCCGCCTCTGTTGTAACATAGAAATGCATGCAAATGCCATATGGCCGTGTTGTCGGTCTCTAGGAAAGATCGCAATTGTGACTGAGTAGAACACGACTCTCCGGACGTTTTTCGCACCGCACAATTTTAAATATTATATACAAAATAACCTCTCGGGTAAATGCTTTTTGACATTGCAAACAAAATTGGCTTATAAAATGTGCAAAACAGTCTTGAGAAACAAATGCACTAAATTTCCTCTGATCTGAGTAGGACGTACTTAACTCTTTGGAGTACGAATGCAGAGGTCTTACAATTACCGGACACCACATTGGAAGGTTTATTTTATGGAGTCCGCAAAGAGGTTAATGTATATGTACAGTAAAGGGTTTCTTACGTCCAAACGTTGGGTGTAGTCGGAGCACAATAAGCATTAAGCCGAATTTAAAGTTGTGGGTGAAAGAATCAAGGCACGTGTGCTAGGGATTTATTGCGCACAGGACTTCAGTCGTTGTCTCAGGCGACAGTGGTTGCTCACGAAACCGCTCTTATTATTGACTGTGTCCAGGCAAGGCCGAGGGAATGTGGGACAGGGGTGTCAGCTGTTTTGATAGGAATGTGGGCCAAGGTCAAGTGCCCTCTGTAACTGATGCATGTAGCATTCTCCTAAAAGTGTTATATCTGGTGATGTATGCCCTATCGGCTGAGGGTGAGGGAAAGGTGTGCGTTCAAGTGGCACTTGCGCGGTCGCGACTACCTGGACGCGCGCCTGTGTGTGTGACGACTGGAACTCGATCAAGTGTGAAAGCGCTCACTGCAATAGTGTTTGACCTTGAGGCAGCTTTTCTTGAGAAATCACGCAGCCGCTACAACGTTGGTCGTTGGCTACAGACCCTGCAAAAGGCTTGGATTGAAAAAAAGATCTGAAACGTTCACAGTGAACCCACTGTACCTTGCGTTCTTATCCTAACGACCGTCGGAGAAATGGTATGCAATTT